GGCTGCGGAAGCAATTATACAAAATATACAGGGTCCAATGAGCCGTGATGACATACATGGGACAGAAGATTTCAAAACTTATATATATACACAAGCGTGTTGGTCTGAGGACCTCAATATTTACAAAACATTTACATAAGTGGTGTTCCCAAGACCTGACTTACAAATATTCAGAAACTAGCATAAGTCCAAAAAAAACAGCCATACAACTAGACTTCGATCGGAACCTCCTCGGGAGGCACAACGGTTGGCTGACAAAACAGAAATGAAGGTCGTCAACTCTGACCCGGGTCACACGCCGGCTCACACACCGGCTCACTTGCATACATAATATAAACTGTGAGCTAAAGCCCAGTGAATAATAACAGAGTAAAGGATTTAATGAATGATGTCCATCACCAAGTTAGAAATCAGATTATTATCAGAAACAGAGTCTTACGTATATTCAGTTTCTAAATCAAAAACAGACTTATAATTGTTTTCATAATTAGATTTTGCATATAGTCACACGTGGTACATCCCTTAGCGTTAACAAATCCGATGGCCCATAAAGGGACAGCCTTGAAGGCATTTTGATGACTCATGTGCACAGAGACGTTTCTGATGATCCATGAAGGAACCTGATGACCCATAAAGGGACGCATATCATATGATGTTAAGGATGCCACGAATAACTTTCAGAATCTTGGACAACCATTCATTCATTTCAAACGTAGCATGGCATTTCAGAGAACTAATTACTTCGTATCATAATATTCAGAAAATACTTAACATTAAACATAACTTTACAAAGTTATTACGCACAGATGATTGGTAGCCCTAACTAGATGGTAAGGCGGCCCTTCACTTGTTCTGAGCCGCGTGACTTAAGGTTGATTACAAGTGTGATCCTAACTCAAAGCTTCAAATTATCTTCAATCTTCTAGCCAATTCCCCCCTTGTGAAGTCAATTCTTGAACTAGGACCCAAATCCCTCAACTCTCTCTCTCTCTCTCCCGTCTCTTGCATCAGTTGTGGAATGAATGAAATAATAAAGGCAACTTAGTGGGGTCAAAAGGCCTTGTAGGTGGTAATTGACAAAATAAAACAAATAGCATTATTTTAATCAAATTTAGTCGTTCCGAACCAAATTTTAATTAAGCCTACCATAAAATTCTATAAATTCTAACTAGCACATAAATCAAGTCAATTTCTAATTTGAATGCCGATAAGGCTTTCAATTCGCAAACCGAAACTAAATCGTGAACAGATCTTTCTACGCCTAACAGATATAAACACAACAATGCAACACACACACATGCATTTTAATTCAAGATTCAACAAAATTTCTAATTAGGCATAATTAATCATGGATTAGCGTTAATCAGAGGTTGGGGTTGTTACAGTCTTCCCCCTTAAAAAAGTTTGGTCCTCCAAACTTGAATTACCTTCGTTCTGGGACAACATTGGGTCCAATGGGAATAAATCCAGATATCTTTTCATCATGTCTGCTTCGGTCTCCCAGGTTGCATAGGTTTCTCCGTGGTTTTGCCAATCAACTTTTACTAATGATATTTCTTTGTTTCTCAACCTTTTGATCATGCAATTCACAATCTGGATAGGTCTTTCCTCGTAAGCGTAATCATCTTTCAAAAGTACGTGTGTTGGCTCAATGACATGGAGTGGATCTCTCAAATACTCTCAAAGCATCGATACATGAAACATATTGTGCATATACTCCATCACTGGAGGTAAGGCTACCCGATACGATACTGGATTGATCTTTTCAAGGACCTCACAAGGTCCAACATACCTTGGCGCCAATTTGCCCTTAACACCAAACCGAGTTTGATCCTTCATCGGTGTCACTTTAATGAACACATGGTCCCCAACTTCGTATTTCCTACCTCTTCTTCGAACATCAGCATAGCTCTTCTGCCGACTCTGTGGAGTCTTTAGACGTTGCTGGATCAGTTTCACTTTCTCGGTTGTTTCTTGCACAAGTTCTGGTCCCAACAAAGGTCTATCACCTACTTCAGCCCAACATATCAGAGAACAACATTTTCTTCCGTACAAAGCTTCGTAAGGAGCCATTTCAATGCTTGAATGATAACTATTGTTATACACAAATTCAGCTAATGGCAAATAGGTTTCCCAATTCCCTTGGAAGTCTAACACACACATTCTGAGCATATCCTCTAAAGTTTGGTTAGTTCATTCAATTTGTCCATCTGTCTGTGGGTAATAGGCACTACTCAATCTTAGTTCAGTCCCCAAAGCCTGTTGCAAACTCTGCCAAAATCTTGATACAAACTTTGAGTCCCTGTCAGACACGATAGATACTGGCACTCCATGCAATCTCGCAATCTCACAATTTCAGTCATATAAATATTGGCCAATTTATCCGCATTATAAATAGTTTTGACAGGCAAAAAATGGGCAGACTTAGTTAAAAGGTCAACTATTACCCAAATAAAGTCCATACCTCGGGAAGAACGAGGCAATCCCACAATGAAGTCCGTGGTAATGTGTTCCCATTTCCATTCCGGTATTAGGAGTGGTTGTAGCAACCCAGCGGGTCGTTGATGTTCAGCTTTAACCTGTTGGCAATGTAGACATCTAGTCACAAAATCAGCAATACTCTTCTTCATTCCTGGCCACCAAAAATTCTATCTCAAATTGTGATACATTTTCGTGTTCCCCGGGTGCATGGCAAACTTACTGCTGTGTGCTTCGATCATCACACGTTTTCTCAAATCACAACAATCGGGTACACAAAGACAGTTTTGAAATTTTAGCACGCCATACTCAAACACAAATCCCGGCCTCAGCTTTGAATCAAATTCCTCTATGATCTTTCTCAAGTATTCATCTTCACATTGTTTTTGTTTGATCTCATCAAGAATCGTAGGTTGAGCGAAAATGGCAGTTAAAATCCCACCTTGTTCTTGCACACTAATCTCAATCTCTTTCTGTTCTAGGTCAACTAGCAGTTCCTTTCGATTGGTCAGCAAGCATGACAAATTTGCACTGGATTTTTGGCTCAAGGCATCTGCTACGGTATTAGCCTTCCCTGGGTGATATAAGATCTGCAAATCATAATCCTTGATTAACTCTAACCATCGCCTCTGCCTCATATTCAATTCCTTTTGGGTGAAGAAATATTTCAGGCTTTTATGATCGGTATACATCTCACAAGTTACCCCATACAAGTAGTAACGCCAAATTTTCAAAGCAAACACCACAGCTGCTAATTCGAGATCATGCGTCGGGTAGTTCTTTTCATGAGGTCGGAGTTGTCAGGAAGCATAGGCAATCACTTTTTCATTTTGCATCAATACACACCCTAAGCCTTTGTGAGAAGCATCACTGTAGACTTGAAACCCATCAGTACCATTGGGCAAAGCTAAAATTGGCGCAGTCACTAACCTAGCTTTCAATTCCTGAAAGGCTGCCTCTCTTTGTTCATTCCAGTCAAATGACACATTTTTCTGAGTTAACTGGTTCAACGGCATAGCAAGCTTGGAAAATTCTTTCACAAATCTTCGGTAGTAACCTGCAAGTCCCAAAAAACTTCTAACTTCTGTAACGTTCGTCGGTCTAGGCCAATCCACAATAGCTTCAATCTTCTAAGGGTCAACAGAAACACCATCCTCATTGATCATATGCCCCAAAAATGCTACATTGTCAAGCCAGAATTCACATTTGGACAATTTAGCATACAGTTTCTTTTCTCTCAAAATCTGTAAAGTAGTTCTCAGATGGTTCCCATGTTCTTCCCTATCTTTAGAATAAATCACAATGTCATCAATAAACACGACAATGAATTCATCAAGATATTGTTTGAAAACCCTATTCATTAGGTCCATAAAAGCTGCAGGTGCGTTTGTCACTGCAAAAGGCATTACCAAGAATTCATAATGTCCATATCTAGTTCTGAATGCAGTTTTCTCTATGTCTTCTGCTTTAACCTTTAACTGATGATAACCGGACCTAAGATCAATTTTAGAGAACACTTTAGCTCCTTAGAGTTGATCAAACAAATCATCTATTTGAAGTAAGGGATATTTGTTCTTAATAGTCACTTTGTTCAATTGTCAGTAGTCTATACACAACCTCAAAGATCCATCCTTCTTTTTGACAAACAAGACTTGAGCACCCCAAGGTGAAGTGCTCGGACGAATAAATTTCTTATTTAATAGCTCTTGAGGTTGAGTTTTTAATTCTTTCAACTCTGAGGTAGACATTCTATAGGGGGTCTTGGAAATAGGTTGTGTCCCCAGAAACACCTCAACAGTGAATTCGATTTCTCTATCCACTAAGTCCCCAGGTAAGTCATTCAGAAACACATCGGAAAATTCACAAGCAACAGGGATAGTTTCTACATTAGTTCCGTCAGATGACGTAGTCAGTATACAACACAAGTAACCCCTACATCCCTTCCTAAGCAGTTTTCTGACTTTCAAAGCTGAAATCAGATATGGGGGAGGAACTACCCCATTCCTGGTAAAAGTAAATTCAGGCATACCCGGTGGTCTAAACACAACAGATTTACTTGCACAGTCAATGGTAGCACAATATTTAGTCAACCAGTCCATTCCCAAAATATAATCATAGTGGTCAATGTTCAATGGCAATAAGTCAACATATATCATATCGCCAATCATAATATCACATGCCGGATAAACATGAGTGCACATCATAGAATCCCTAGACGGCATAGATACAGATAACACATATGTCATAAGTTCTAATGGTCTAGTCAATTTTCGAGAGAAAGCATGCGATATAAAGGAATGTGTAGAACTAGAATCTATCAATACGCATGCATCTTGAGAACATACAGAGAGTGTACCTGACACCACGGTATAGGTGTTTGGTATGTCACCAGGCACTAAGGCAAACACTCGACCCTGTCTCAGAGGTTCTTTCCCAGTATTGGCACTCGTGTTCGTCTTGGATGCAGAAGCGGATCCGGTTGAGTTTGTTGCTGGTTGGTTAGTATTTTCGAACCTGATAGGTCAATCCTTCATCATATGACCAGTCTTTCCACATCTAAAACAGGCGCCCAAAGCTCGATAACAATCCCCCTTGTGTTTCCTACCACATTTCGAGCAAGTCGGCATAGTACCACTACTTTGGTTTGAGCTACTGTAAGATCCTGTGTTTCGCCTCTTATTCCCAGAAAATGAACGACCCATTTTGAAACTGTTTCCATATCTTTTCCCCGTCCAATCAATTCTTGGGACAAGAGTTTGTTTCTTCGCTGCTAGAATGGACTCTTCCATTAATGCCCTATCCAAAACATTCACGTACATGGGTAGGCTCAGGACTCCCACCCTATCCAGTATGTCCAGATCCAATCCACCCTCAAACTTGTGGGCCTTCTTGTAGTCTGTGTCCACCATGTGAGGAGCAAACCTGGCCAACTCAGTGAACTTAGCCTCGTACTCGGCTACAGACATTCTGCCTTGTTTGAGTTCTTGGAATTCTGAAACCTTCCGGTCTTGGAAACACTGGGGAAAGTACTTGTCATAGAAAATTGTATTGAATTGAGTCCACGTCATATTCTCGTGGCCATTTCGAATCAGTAACCACCACCTTCGGGCTTCATCCTTCGGAGTATAGGTGGCTAGGAGGACTTTCTGGACTTCAGAACAAGGGAACACCTCATACAGTTTCTCCATTTCAAGTAACCACGTCTCTACTTTCAACGGTTCAATTCCACCATAGAATGTTGGCGATTTCATTTTCATGAACTTCTGTGTCAAGTTGATGATGTCACCGGTACCCATTTCAACTTGAGCCGGCAGGGGTGGAGGTGGTAAAGGTTGTTCCCTCTGTTGTTGCATTACCACTTCGGTTAAGGTTGCAAGCATTTGTTCCATTCTATTCATTCGGGCATCAGAGGACCCTGCTGTGTCATCATTCCTTGCATTGTCCATTTGCTATAGGTAAACAAAACTTTATGTATTCAAATTCACATGCTTATACTTGAACTTATGCTTTCACTTTCGAACAATACACATAAACATGCAGATAAAATGCCCCTACTTCTTACTAGGACTTCCTAAGCTCATATGGACCTGTGTGTGCAGTAGAACACGTGCTCTGATACCACTCTGTCACGACTCAAACCCGTCCCTATAGGTTTAGCATCGTAACCGGCCAGTGATCCGTGGATTACCAAAGGCCTCTGAACAGAAAAGCACATGATAAAGGGGCTGCGGAAGCAATTATACAAAATATACAGGGTCCAATGAGCTGTGATGACATACATGGGATAGAAGATTTCAAAACTTATATATATACACAAGCGTGTCTGTCTGAGGACCTCAATATTTACAAAACATTTACATAAGTGGAGTTCCCAAGACCTGACTTTACAAACATTCAGAAACTAGCATAAGTACAAAAAAAAACAGCCATGCAACTAGACTTCGATCGGAACCTCCTCGGGAGACACAATGGTTGGCTGACAAAACAAAAATGAAGGCCATCAACTCTGGCCTGGGTCACACACCGGCTCACCTACATACATAATATAAACTGTGAGTTAAAGTCCAGTGAATAATAACAGAGTAAAGGATTTAATGAATGATGTCCATCACCAAGTTAGAAATCAGATTCTTATCAGAAACAGAGTTTTACGCATATTCAAATTCCAAATCAAAAACAGACTTATAATCGTTTTCATAATCAGATTTTGCATATAGTCACACATGGTACATCCCTTAGCATTAACAAATCCGATGGCCCATAAAGAGACAGCTTTGAAGGCATTCTGATGACTCATGTGCACAGAGACATTTCTGATGACCTATAAACGGACCTAATGACCCATGAAATGACCTGATGACCCATAAAGGGACGCATATCATATGATGCTAAGGATGCCACGAATAACTTTCAGAATCTTAGACAACCATTCATTCATTTCAAACATAGCATGGCATTTTAGAGAACTAATTACTTCGTATCATAATATTCAGAAAATACTTAACATTAAACATAACTTTACAAAGTTATTACTCACAGATGATTGATAGCCCTAACTAAATGGTAAGGCGGCCCTTGACTTATTCTGAGGCGTGTGACCTAAGGTTGATTACAAGTGTGATCCTAACTCAAAGCTTCAAATTATCTTCAATCTTCTAGCCAATTCCCTCCTTGTGAAGTCAATTCTTAAACTAGGACCCAAATCCCCCAACTCTCTCTCTCTCTCGTCTCTTGCATCAGTTGTGGAAGGAATGAAATGAGAAAGGCAACTTAGTGGGGTCAAAAGGCCTTGTAGGTGGTAATTGACAAAATAAAACAAATAGCATTATTTTAATCAAATTTAGTCGTTCCAAACCGAATTTTAATTAAGCCTACCATAAAATTCTCTAAATTCTAATTAGCACATAAATCAAGTCAATTTCTAATTCGAATGCCGATAAGGCTTTCAATTCTCAAATCGAAACTAAATCATGAACAGATCTTTCTATGCCTAACAGATATAAACACAACAATACAACACACACACATGCATTTTAATTCAAGATTTAACTAAATTTCTAATTAGGCATAATTAATCATGGATTAGCGTTAATCAGAGGTTGGGGTTGTTACACTTGCGTTCTCTATTGCACTATATAGAACACGATAATAATAAACACAGGAAAGATGGCTTACTTATACTCATGTTAGCACTTTTATACATAACATGTCCACACACGCGTGTTTATGGTCATGTAATGCTCTAATTGCTTTTCTAGGACATCCTATAGCTTATTTGGACACGTGTGTACGGTATAACCCGTGATCTAATACCACTCTATCATGACCCAAACCCTTCTCTCCGTCAAATTCCATTCATGTGGGGGATTGTTGGAAAATGGTTTTATATAGGCATAATTTTGAGCCCATTTGTAACAACCCTCATACTGTTTACCGATTAATGACTGATTAACTGCTAATTACTGTTAATCGAGACTGATTATGACTGATAATTGAACTGATTAAAGTACTGAACTGACTGACCGAAATTGAAACTGAATTGAATGAATACATCTGTTTGAATTGCATTCTATCTGTTGATTGTTTATTTTATCTGTTCATGTTTGAGCGTTTAATTGAAGGCCTTATCGGCGGCCGAATTAGTAACCGATTGATGTTTTATGGGCGTCATAATTAATGTAATTTTATGGTATATTTATTTGAAAATTGATTAGGTATGATTAGATTAGATTAAAATAAGCTAATTAAAGAGTTAGGCTTAATTACCTTAATGCCACTTAAGTGGCCCACTACTTGAATCATCTTTGAGCCTCATTACACTCATTCATACACATTCCATCAGCTCATTCCTTAGACTCAACCGACCAAGATAGAGAGTGAGAGAGAATTGAGTGGATCTTGAGTTCATTGGTAGAATTGCTTGAAGGTTGAAGTGTGGATTGTTAATTTGAACCTCTAGACTTGCATTCAAGGAACCTAGGTATGAATTTCATCCTTTTGACTTGTGTTTAAGTTGATTCATGCATGGTTCATGTCCAATTGTAGAGCTAAGTCATGAATTGGTTCATTAATGGTAAATTGAAGCCCAATCTTTGCATGCATGGTAGTATTGTTGGATTTTGAGTTGTTTTCATGGCAAAATGTTACATGCATGTTCATGTCTTGAGTGTAGTCCATGATTTCATCATGTTTTGAAAAGAATTGGCTCTTTAGAGCATCAAATCGAAGCTTTGAAATGGTTTGAATTCATGCATGTTTGCATGTTCATCTTGTGCTTGGAAAAAATGGTTTAAATTGAGTTTGAATTAAACACCCTTGGGCTTTGATTTCTTAAAATTGAGCTTTGAAACATGTTATTCTATGTGTTTATAAATGTTTACCAGAAAATGGGCCCAAGAGGATCAGTTTTGATGCCTTTGAACTTGGTTTTTGGCTTGGAGGTGCAATCTGGAATTTCCAGATTTTGCATTTCTGCTCGAGTGGGGGAATTGCCGCTCGAGCGTGGAATCCGAGCATCCAGCATCTCTCTGCACTGTTTTACTCCGCTCAAGAGCGGAGGATTGGGCGCTCGAGCGAAGTCATGTCTCAAGCTCGAGCGGGCGTCGAGCGGAGATTTCACCCATCCAGTACTTTTACACTACGCTCGAGCGGGAAAGTTTACGCTCGAGCGTGCACCTTTGTTTGCCTGTACGCTCGAGCGGGGAAACCTGCGCTCGAGCAAGACTCTGTTTTTCTGAAAATCCTGAAAATACTTTTAAATGTGCATCTTTGCATCCTCATCCCATTCTAGGCATTCTTAGGCCTAGTTTAAGACATCTTATTGAGGATATCGTTGTAGAACACACCAAGGCAAATTAGGGATTAAGTTATGATATTTCCCAACTGTGTAGCTTAGTGTGCGTTCAACCTGTGAACTGTGTAGGGCTGGCGACTGGGGAGACACGCTCTAGCATACTGTAGCCCAGAACTCTGTGAGTAACAATTGTGTAAAGATATTGTATGACTGTTTACTGTACTGAACAACTGAAATACTGATTGAATTGAACTGTTTTCATTGCTGTAAGGACATTCATTCTAAACCCCTTTACGCTTTATGTTATTCACTGGGCTTTAGCTCACTGTTTATATATATGTAGGTGCTCAGCCACCAGATCGGAGCTAGGAGCGTGGGTTAGACTCCAGTTTTGTCAAGCCAGCCTTTGTGCCTCACTGCGAGGTTCCGAGTTGCCATGCTATGGCTTGGGGGTGTTTTGTTTGTTTTCTCCCGCCTGTCTTCATACTGTCTAACTGTTCTGTATAGACTGAATGTTTACCGTACTGTTGTCAAGGGATTAGGTCCCTGTATTGTGTGACTGTAAATTCTGTATAGACTGTACTGTTTGTGCATGTATGAATGCATGAAAAATCTTTTTGGCATACAGACTGTCACAGCTCATTGGACATTGTTTAATTACTGTATTGGCTTCCGCCAGGCCCTGTACTCTGTTTTACTGTATTACTGTTAAGCAGGCCTTCGGTAATCTCAGATTACTGGCCGGTTACGATGCTAAACCCATAGGGCCGGGTTTGGGTCGTGACAATAGGTTTAATGTCATAACCGGCCAGTAATCCATGATTACCAAAGGCCTGCTTAATAGTAATGACAATAATACAATATAAATGGGGCTGACAAAAGCCAATCAATAATAAGATAATGTCCAATAAGCTGTGAGGACCTGAATGGAAATAAACTTTCATATACATAGCCACTTATGCCAAACAATACATATATAAGACAATATACAAGCTAGGGAATTAATCTCATCATCAAAACTGTGTAAACAAAAGTCTTAAACATTCTTTACACTTAGAAAAAACAAAAGGGTGGATTTGCATCACCCAAAATCCTTGACTCACACGGGTTCGGAACCTTGTCATGAGGCACAAAAGCTGGCTTAACAAAATATGAGTTCGGGTCGACGCCTCTAGCCTTGATTCAGTGCCTGGTCGCCTCCATACATATATAATAAATAGTGAGCTAAAGCTCAGTGAATAACAATTGTGTAAATAGGTTAAGAATGAATGTCTTTTCAGCATTTTAAATAGTCAATTGCATCAGTAGATCATTTGATCGATCAATATCTCATATTTCATATCATATCTGTCATATAGTAATTATAGCAGTCATACATGGTACATCCAATAGCAAAACAGTACAGTAGGTCTTAACCGACCGAACAGTCAATTGAAGGCGATCAAGCAGTAAACGGTAGTTCCAAAATTTGGAACTGACAGAGATCTCTGTGACAGTAGCAGTGACAGTGACAGTAGTAGTGAAAGTAACAATAACGGTTAGTTGTTATGGATGCCACGAGTACAATTCATAAATAGAACAAACATTCGTTCAATAAACAATATCATTTCAGAAAGAAGTGCAGTTAATTATTCATAAAATAATTATAAGTGA